AGCTCTGCCTTTTGGATCTCAAAATCCAGGGATGCTGAAGTGCTGGGTCTGGAGAAGGGAGGTGGCGCAGTGCAGCAGGGCCCTGGCCTGTCTGTCCTGACGGGAGATGGGGCTGGCAGGACGGGGAGGCTGGATGGCTGGTGATGCAGGGCGTGCCCATCCCTCTCCTCCTTCCTCACACCCCCACGCTGCTCTGTCCCCTTCCGGCCCCTCTTCTCTCCTCACATTTCCTTCTCTTCTCTTCTCTCTCACTCCCCTCCTGGCCTCAACCTTTTCGTCCTCCTCCCCGCAGTCCTGCCCTCTGTCTCCTTTATTTCTTCCTTAACCCCCCGCCCTTCCCTTTCCCGTCTCCTCCTCCAGCATCCAGAGTTCTCTTCAACTACTTGCCCCACCGCAGACGCCCTCCCTGAGTTCAAGCTGCCCGTTCTTCCTTTTTGCAGCCCCTGCCCATCTGGGCAGCAGAGTTCATCCCATACCCTGCAGGGAGACCAGGGCCACCACAATGTCCCTCTCCTCCCTCCTAGAGGCTGGCTGGGTCCAGCCTGAGCTGTGCCACCTGCTGACTCAGGCCAATGGGACTGTGCCTCAGGCAGGTTCCTGCCCTTCAGAGCCCAGCGCTGGGCTGTGGACCCGACAGCGGCCCCCAGAGGTGAGGCTGGGAATTGCAGCATCCTGCCTGCTGCAGTTCCCTCCGTGCTGTACTCTCACCCCTGATGTCCTGAAGGTCCCACCTGTATGTCTAGGGGTGGGGATAAGCATGTGAATGCTGTGTGGACACCTGGGCATAGTCTACTGTTTATGCATGCATGTGTGCGTCTGGTGTGTGTGCATGATATGAGTGTGTACCTACTGCCTGAATGGGTGTGCCCAGGCAGGGCACAGCCAGCCAGCATCACCCCGGGGAACCGCTGTGTGTGTGTGAGTGCTGAGTGCACATGAGTGTGCAGGTGTGTGATGGAATTCAGGCTCCTGCGGACTTTATATATTTGTGAGTGTGTACATTCGGGAGCATGTGTGATAGCACAAAGTCAGGTGTTTCCTGCATACTTGGAGATTAAGTGCCCTGACAAGTGTGTGCTCGTCTGTGCCTGGGGATGCCAGTGAGCATGGGAATAGCATGAAGCCACATGGACATGTGTGAGGTGGGAGGGGCTGTGGGTGCTTACACAAGGCTGCTCATAGCATGCACCTGTGTGCCTAAGAGGGACTATCTGCCTGTGTGAGTTATGTGCACACACCTGTATTCACTGCACTTTCGAGGGATATGAGACCCCCCTGGGGAGGTCTGTGGTGCCATAAAGGCACGTGTGAGCAGTGAGCAGGGCCCGAGGGAAGTGGCTGTGCTGAAAGGGGACATATTTAATGATTTATAAGCTTTTAAGGAAAAGCCTCACCCCCATTCAGGCCCCAGACACAGTGACACCCTCCCATCCTGCTGCCACATCACTCAGGCCTGACATCAGCCAGGCACCTGAAACCACAGGAATGAGAGGTAGTCTTGTTGCCTCTGCCTCCTCACCTGCTCACCCACTGTAGGGCTGATGCCAGGGAAGAGCAAGGATGCCTCCCTAAAGCACCTGCGAGGTGCAGGGGTATGCGGCCAAGACGATGCTGCAGTCCAGGCCAGAGACCCCTCTGCAGCCACGGAGGCCATGCTAGCCCCACCCCATGGCTGAGAGAGGATTGCAAGGAGTAGGGACACCTGTCGCTGCCTTGGTGGACTTGGGGTCCAGGTGCCCCCTTTCCCAGCCAAGCCTGGCTCCTTCAGGAGCTAATGGGCTTCCCAAAGTCTGCCTGCTGGGACTGACTGGGCATGAAGCAGAGGGGAGGAAGCCCTCGATGACTGTGGGCTGAAGGAATGAGTGAAGAAACAGTGGGGCTGGGTGAGGTGGCTCACACCTGTAATCCCAGGGCTTTGGGAAGCCGAGGCACGAGGATGGCTTGAGCCCAGGAGTTGGAGACCAGCCTTGGTGACACAGTGAAACCCTGTCTCTACACTTTTTTTTTTGAGACAGTCTTGCTCTGTCACCCAGGCTGGAGTGCAGTGTCACAATCTCAGCTTACTGCAATCTCTGCCTCCTGGGTTAAAGTGATTCTCATGCCTCAGCCTCCCAGGTAGCTGGGATTATAGGCATGTGCCACCACTCCTGGCTGATTTTTTTGGTATTTATTTTCAGTAGAGATGGGATTCACCATGTTGGCCAGGCTGGTCTCGAACTCCTGACCTCAAGTGATCCGCCTTGCCTTGGCCTCCCAAAGTGCTGGGATTACAGGCATGAGCCACCACGCCCAGCCCAATTTTTTTTTTTTTTTTTTTTTAAAGAAACAGCAGTTCCCAGGGATGGTGCTGACTGGCCCCAGGGAATTCACTGAGGGTGAGTGGATGGCTATGCTCAGTGCTGGGAGATTGGCCTTTGAATTCACTTCTGCCTGATCCTCACTTTTCCCCTTTCTAGGAAAGATCAGAAATCCCCTACAAGGTAATGGTACCAATGAAATTCAGAGGTGTGCCTGGTACCTAGCACATGGTAGATGCTCAGGAAATGACAGGTGTGTCCTCCTCGAGAGCTGACAGCTGTCCTGAGCCCCTTCCAGAGCAACTCCTGGACCAGCTATGAGTCAACTATGGCTGGGCAGCAGGGATCCTTGAGTTCCTGTTCTGGAAGCATGAGTCAGGCCCAGGTCGGAGAGGAGGGAGGTCACATTGGGGTCAGATGCTGGACCCAGGCAGGATCAGACACGCACCTGGCTGCCACCTTATCACGATGCCCGTTGCTAGTAACTGGATCTCAGAAGTTAAGGCCCTGGGGCTGAATGAAGCATTCCAGCTCTGTGGGCCGAAATGTTGTTGACGTGGGCTGTATGATGCATAGATGCTTTTTAGATAGCACAGCTTGAAAAGGGCCAGCAAGCCCCCGAAGGCATTGCCTTCACAGCTGCTGCTGCTGCTGCTGCTGCTGGGGACAGAACCCCCAGCCCTAGAGCCCGCCCAGCCTGGGGACCCCCATCACCTCCCTCAGAGCTCCTGAAGCTAGCCTGCCAGTTCAGAGCCCATCTCTGATTTCCGGAGAGCCTCTGTTCTTTATCTAGATCATCGCAGTCACTAGTGAGGACCCAGTTGCGCTTTCCACCAGGTTTTAGAGAACACCTGAGGAGTGGACATTCCTATTTTAACCCTCTTTCTCACACCTCTGACTCTGAGCGGTGTCCATCATCCCCTGTTGCTGCAAACTGTGACCGTTCAGTACAATGGACAGTGCTCATGAGAGGGTGGGGTGGAGGCGAGCCTGTGTCAGTGCTTCAGCCACAGTAGGCACATGCCCATTGCCCGGCTCCTTATCGCTGGGAGCCACCGTCTCTCCTGTTTCTTATGGCAGATAACGATGGCTTATCCATCCTTTGGGAACTAAGCACACTGCTCTAGACAGTCACTAACATGAACGACCTTATTTAGGAATTAGGTGCCTCAGAGAGAGCCTTTGCAGGCTGAAACATGGAGGGAAGTGGCGTGGTGATGGGACTTTTCTCTTTGCCTCCCAAATGTGCAGAAAAAGGCAGTGCAGGAACACACACACACCCGAACAGAAACAAACGTTCATTGAGTGCCTGCTGTGGACCTAGCCTTCTTAGGCACTGGGAGGGAGTGGGTAGAAAAGTGAGTTTGCACAGCACTTGCCTTTAGCAGCTCGCAGTTGTATGGAGAAGATATGCATCAGCAAACACTGCTTTTCCATTTCTGAAATTTATGGGACTATCCTGGGGAAACATCAAACCTGTTAAAATATGCAAAAAGTGAAGCAGCAGCTTTGCTATAGGGAAAAACAAACCTCAGAAACCCTTAGTGACGGGCCACTGAACACGGGTTTGCAAGGCAGCCCTCTCCTGGTTCCATTGGCAACTGTGCTGGCCGGGCCCTGCCACCCCTGCTGGGGAAACAGTGTAGGGAAATGGCATAGAGGGCCAAGGACAACAGGGTCTGGTGACTTAGATAAAATGAATACAAAATATACATATATATATATATATATATATACACACATATATATATATATATATACATATATATATATATATATATATATAGTGTGATAATACCAGAGAGCAAAGGTGCTCCTCTCTTCCTCTCCCTTCCTCCCTTCCCCAGGCTCCTCCTTCTCTGAGCCCTCAGGGCCTGATGAGAAGGTCTTGGTCCCAGTGGAGGGTAGGAAAAGTCCCCATTTGTTTTGCTTCCTGTTCCAAGCCACAGAGGCCTCAGGCATCTGACCTCCTCCTGGATGCTCAGTGCTGAGGCTCCTCACTGGAGCCTTGGCCCGCAGCCAGCAGCCAGCCCTCCCTGGCCAGCCTGGGGCCTGAACCCCTGCACCGGGAGGTGCTTGTCTGCCCGCACCTGGCAATCTGATCTGCCCCGAGACAGTCAGGTTGAACAGGTTTGGCCGCCTGAACTGGCTGCAGCCTTTGCCTTTAGTAAGATAAAGGAAGAGTCGGAGCTTTCAGCCACAGCCAAAATAAAGTTTTTGGATTTTTTTTTTCTCTTTGAAATAATTTCTAACCTATGAAAAAGTTGCAAGAAATTATTTTTTTCCTGTATCATTTGGGAGTAAGTTGCTGGCCTGATGGCCCCTCACTCCTGAATTCTTTAATGTGTATTTCCTACAAACAAGGACATTCTCTCTCTCACATAACCACAATGCAGCCATTAACACCAGGAATTTCATCTCAATACGTTGCTGCCATCGAGTCCTCAGACCCCATGAGTTTTCCCAGTTGTCCTGATGATGTCCTTTAGAGCAAAGGGTCCAGTTCAGACTCAGGCATGCTTGCGTGCGGCTGTCATGTCTGGTTAGTGTTCTCGAATCTAAAATAGTTCCTCCGTCTTGATTTCCATGACCTTGACACTTGCGAGGGTGACACGTCAGTTATTTAGTAGAACGTCCCTCAGACCCATCTGATGTTTGCTGATGTTTCTTCATGAATCGATTCTGGTTCTGCATTTCCAGCAGGAAAATCATGGACACCATGCTGTATTCTTCCTATGGCATCCCGTCAGGGCCTGCACCATCTCAATTTGTTCCATGACCAGTGATGCTAACTCTGATGGCTTAAGATGGTGTGTGCCAGTCTTCTCCAAGGTAAATTACTTTTTTCCTCTTTGTAATTGAAAAGCACTTTATGGAGAGATCCTTAAGTTTCTTCATCTTCAGCAAACTTCCTCCCACTAGTTTTAGCATCATGGATGTTTCTTGGCCTAATTATTACTGTGATAGTTGCCAAGTTCACTAATACTTCTGCGTTTAATAGTTGGCATCTTCTGTACAGAAAAAGTGTAATAAAAGAAAAAATACTTTATCTTCTCTGTATTTATTTATTCATATTTTTATTTATATTAGTATAGATTCAGGGATTTTTATCTTACTCATTATTTATTTTGGTTTTATTGTGTTAATTGCAATTTATTTTTGTTAATTAATTTATTTTTGAGATAGGCTCTTGCTCTGCCACCCAGGCTGGGGTACAGCAGTGTGATTACAGCTCACTGTCACCTCGAACTCTTGGGCTCAAGCAGTCCTCCTGTCTCATCTTCCCAAATAGCTGGGACTTCAGGTGTGCACCACCATGCCGAGCTAATTTTTTTTTTTTTTAAGACTGAGTCTTGTTATGTTGCCCAGGCTGGTCTTGAACTCCTGGCCTCAAGTGATCTTCCTGCCTTGGTACCCCAAAGTGCTGGGATGACAGCACCTGACCTCATTATTTATTTTGATGCTGAAAATCTCCCAGCTTGGCCAAGGGGTCACCCCTTCAGCAGGCTTCTGTGTCCTTTTGCGACCCCCACTCCATTCTTTAGGCACTTCCTCGCTTTCTGAAACAAGATGTTCCTGGCTCATCTTGTGGTTTTCCTGTCCCACCCGTGGCATTGGCCATTTCTCCAAGGTACAGTCGTTTCTTTTGATGGAGAAGGGGATATAGAAACAGAGATCTTGGCATTAGCTCCCCTCATTGCTTTTGAGAGTTTGTCAGTGATTCTTGGACTGGAGTCAGGGACAGGATGTTGCCTTTAATCTCTAACATTCTAAACCAGCAACTGTGAGGCTGTTTGGGTGATGGGCAACATGGAAAGAATGAGACTTTTAATGAAAAAAGATATATAACCTATTGATTGAATACATAATATTCTATAGGAAATAAAATCATCAGTGGAGTTAGCAAATATATGTATATGTACATATCTATGTGTTTATGTAAATATACATCTACACCATTTATATCTGTGTATCTGTTTATCTGTCTGTCTACCTGCCTGTCTATCTTGAAGGCCTTGAGTCCACACTGAAATCTCTAATACCAAACCCATGATCACATGGTTAATTCAATTCCTCCCTTTCCGTAGTTATAAAGCCATTCTCCTTCAGCGTGTCTTCCATCATGCTTGTGTGTATAACCACTCTCTCCATGTAGCCACCACTGCCAGCACAGGTACCCTTGTCTCTACCGGGACAAACACCCTCCCTGCTGATGTCCCGGCATGATGCCTGCTTTCCCGGCTCCACCTAATAGCTTTGGTACTGAATTATTCAGGAAGGCAGGCAACTGTTTGGACTTTTTGCTGACCAATGAATTACTGCTTTTCTTGATCTTTAGAATGCTTTGCTTATAACTTCTTAAAAATGATAAGTCTGCCTTTTTTTTTTTTTTGACAAGGTTTTACTGCTGCCACCCAGGCTGGAGTGCAGTGGCACGCTCTCTGTTCATGTAACCTCTGCCTCCTAAGCTCAAACCACTCTCCTGCCTTAGCTTCCTGAGTAGCTGGGGCCACAGGCTCATGCCACATTTAAATTTTAAAATAATAATTTTACAATTTAAAATTATCATTATTAAAAACAATACTTTATTTGTAATTTTAATTTTTTTTGTGTGAAGATGGGGGTTTTTCTGTTCCCCCAGGCCAGTCTCAAACTCCTGAGCTCCTTCCAAAGAGCTGGGATTACAGGAGTGAGCCACCGTGCCCGGCCTGTTTTGCCATTATTAAAGTACGAAATTTCATGAATAATATATGCAAAGGAAAACCATTTCTCTACACCCAACACTTCTGACAGCAAATGTATGGGTTTTCTACACAAAACAATTCCCCAGTTCTCTGCAGACACCAACTGGGTGTCCCACGATTTTAGTTTGGACACTAGCTACCCAGGGTAGGGGAGAGCCTGAAGGTTAAAGGCTCTGTCCCACAAGACTGCTCCCATTTCAGATGACAATAGCAAGTATTGGGTACTCACAGCTCTGTCTAGTTTGGCCACAAATCCAGGGTTCCCACCACTCCCTCCTTAGGTTCAATAATTAATGGCTCACAGAACTCAGAGCCACTTTCCTTAGGTTTGCTGGTTTATCACAGAGGAGGCTGTACAAGATAGAAATGAATAGTCAGATGGAGAGGAAATAGGATGAGGTCTGGAAGGGTCCTGAGTGCAGGAGCTTCTGTCCTCATGGAGTTGTGATGCACCGCCCTCCTGGCGCTGGCACGTGGATGTATTCTCCAACCGGGAAGCTCGCCTACTCTGTAGTTTAGGGATTTTATTTTTTGTTTTTTTGACAGAGTCTCACTCTATCATCAGGCTGGAGTGCATCTTGGCTCACTGCAACCTCCGCCTCCCAGGTTCAAGTGATTCTCCTGCTTCAGCCTCCCAAGTAGCTGGGACTACAGGCACGCGCCACCACACTCAGCTATTTTTCTATTTTTAGTAGAGACAGAGTTTCACCATGTTGGCCAGGATGGTCTCAGTCTCCTGACCTCGTGATCTGTCTGCCTCGGCCTCCCAAAGTGCTGGGATTACAGGCGTGATTTTTACGGACACTTGATCACACAGGCATGATAGATTATTACTCAACCCTTAGCTCTACTCCCATCCCCAGAGTGTGGGGGATGGGGCTGAAAGTTCCAAGCTTCTAATCAGACATTGACCTTTCTTATGACCAGCTCCCATCCTGATACTATCCAGGAGCCCACCAGCAGTCAGCTCATTAGAACAAAAACCCTACTCCTATTGTCCAGGAAATTAGGAGCGCTGTGTCAGGAACAGGGATCGAAGACTAAATATTAGAACAAAAGGCGCTCCTAGCATCCCATCACTCAGCATATTACAAGGGTTTAGGAGCTCTGTGTCAGAAGCTGGGGACAGAGATCCAATACATATACTGAATTATGACATAATTTGGAAAACAGGGAAAGGGAGTCAATCATAATTCCAGCCCTCAATACAATCATTGTTTAGTATCTAAATATATTTCCTTTTAGTTTTTTCCTGCAGTGCGCCCTGTAAGTGTAATGCGGCCACCTCTTTCCATTCTGTATATTTACTTTAGACAATAAAAACATTCACTGCTTAAAAAATACCTGGCATGTACCAAGATTTGTATAGATTGCTTTCTCTTTCTCACTTAATCTTTAACATAATCCTGGGAAGTAGGCATTTCCCTGATACTAGAGATAAAGAAACCAAGGCTCAAGGAGTCTCAGTTGTCCTTCGAATAAGCGATAGAGCTAGCACTGGGACCCAGACAGCTTTGACTCTGAAATCTCTGCTCTACCCATTGTGGTATCCAACCCCCACAAAGCGTAAGTATTTTTTTGATAGTACACCACTATTCCCATAACTCTGGTGTTACATGCAGACATAGTATGCTAATGAGAGATGGTTTCACAACGTAACCACGCCTCTGTTGTAGGACACATGAGCTACTATCTCTCACTCTATAAATAGCACCATGATTAATATCTTCATGGATATGGCTTTTAACCAGATTGTTTTTCTAAAGGGTTGCCCTACTTTGAATGCCAGACTTAAACCATAATAGCGTATTATTATTTAAAAAAATAGTTGATGCTTTTTTAGGCAAAACTATCTTGGTTTAATCAGCACATAGTCGAATACAGGCTTGGCCTTATTCAAGAAATATTTGGGGGTACCTGCTGTGTACCAGGAATGATGGTAGGAATGGAAGCTGTTTGTATTATATGACTCCCCCAGAAAGCCAGAATCAGGGCACTTCAATCACTCTAACCCATGACTCAGGTGTTGGTTTCAGGGGCTGTGCTGGAGAAGCCCTGGTGATATGGGTGCAAACGCCAAAAAAAATGGGTAGGTCTCATCTCAGGGAAAATGTGATGCAGAGTAGGTGGCATTGCCGGCTGACAGTTATGAAGTTACTGTCTCTTAGCTCCAAACCCACGCTTAGACTCTCAGCTTTGGGGTGCTCAGTGCACCTTGTCAGCTGGCTCCTGGCTGGAATGTGCAGATAGGGGGCGCCAGAGGGAGACTGCAAGGCGTTGCTTTCTGTGGGCGTCCCCACTGCTTGCTGTTTCTGTGAGCGGTGTGTCTTCACCCTGCCATCCGGTTGGCAGTTTTCCCTGCACTTGGAGAATTAGCCTCATTGTGCTATCCCACTCAGAGATGCCAGCACCAGCTAGCTAGTACCCTTTCTTAGAGGTCTGGGTCCTAGGCCCACAGGGCCCTGCTTTTAGCATCCAACTTAGAAGAGGAGCCCCTGAAACTCAGCTTAGAAGTTTGAGTTTCAGGGGTTCCTCCTCTAAGTTTCCAAGTTTTTTGTTTTTTTTTTGAGATGGAGATTTGCTCTTGTTGCCTGGGCTGGAGTGCAGTGGTGCGATCTCAGCTCACGGCAACCTCTGCCTCCTGGGTTCAAGTGGTTCTCCTTCCTCAGCTTCCTGAGTAGCTGGGATTACAGGTATGTGCTACCATGCCCAGCTAATTTTGTATTTTTAGCAGAGATGGGGTTTCTCCATGTTGGTCAGGCTGGTTTCGAATTCCTGACCTCAGGTGATCTGCCCGCCTCGGCCTCCAAAAGTGTTGGGATTTCAGACATGAGCCATCACGTCCGGCCAGTTTCCAAGTTTTTACAACCTCTAACTTCTTCCCTCTGTCACCACAGCCCTACTAGCTATGGTAGCTACTTCTGCTAGTTCTGTGATATTTTAGAGTTAGTTACTCTTTCACTTACCCAGTCAACAATTCTATACCTAGTTAATAATTCTTATTTATGTATTTATTTTTTGAGACAGGGTCTCACTCTGTCACCAAGGCTGGAGTGCAGTGGTGTGATCTTGGTTCACTGCAACCTTTGTCTCCTGAGCTCAAGCCATCCTCCTGCCTCTGTCTCCTGAGTTGCTGGAATTATAGACACACAATACCACACCTGAGGAGTTTTTAAAATTTTTTGTAGAGATGTGGTTTTGGAATGTTGCCTGGGATGGTCTCAAACTCCTGGGCTCAAGCGATCCACTTGCCTCTGCCTCCCAAAGTGCCGGCATTACAGATGTGAGCCACTGTGCCAGCCTCAGTTAATAATTCATTACATTACTTCTCTCTGTTTAAGTAACTGATGTGGGTATTGTCTTCTTATTGAACCTGACTGATAAAGGACAGGCCTTGAGCCCCCGAGTTGCTGAGGTCCTGTGGTAACTACATGTGTTCTTTTTGTTTTATTTAACAGTATACACAGAGACATGAGGAAATTGTACCTCAAAAAAGTCGATTTTAAAAAAATCCTTGAGGATTGGTTGAAGTCTGTTTAATAAGCTATTGGAACTTGGGATCCCTTACCCCACTCAGAATAACCAAATTCTGTCCATCCTCACCTCAGCAGAGGTTTATTCTCTGGAGATGGCTAGATAGAGGATCTTTGTAACAAGGTATGGTACATCCTATTCAGGGCATAGACACTTTACTGAAAAGATAAAAGAATAAGTGAAAGTTTACAACTGAATGCTGAGATCCCTCTGTCCTCTTTTCTCATTTTGTTTTCAGACGGCCGGAAGCCAAGCTTATACATTCCAGGCAGGGATTTGGAAGATTCTTCTCTGTGCATGACCAGCCGAGAAAGAAACCCCCAAAACATTGACACTGTGATTTCTCCATGTGAACGGTTTAGCAAGTTCGCCAAGGTTGACCTGCCTCATTCATGCTTGTGGAGTGACTAACAAGGCTTCAGTGATACCCCCTGAAACGTGAGTCATCCATAAGTCACTCTTCATGGGAGAAGAGCCTCTCATGTAAGCTTAGACCACAAACAACAACAAGAACAACCCAAAAAATAAAGAAAAAATTGTGAGCAGAGACTAAGTGGAAAGATGGAAATATTTTAAAAATTATTTTAAAAATTAATATATTAAAATGTATTTAAATAAAGTAAAAATAAATAAAAATAAAATGATCAATATTAGTTAATACCAATATTCTCCCTTTTATTAACATTCTCAGAGAGAAAAAGAAGATATTTCGTCTTGGAAACAAGAACAAAATGCAATAAAAATGGTGCAGTCAGAAAACAAGATGAGCCTTAGGAGGTTAAAACAATGACAGCAGAAATGCAAAATTTAGTAAAAGGCTTTGAAGGGAATACGAAAGAAATCTAAATAGTAGAGAAAAAGGACAAAGTGCTAAGAAACAGGAGAGCAAAGAATACAAAATCAGAGACCCAGTTCAGGAGTTAGTTCCAGCAACTGAGTAAGGAGAATTCCAGAAAGAGAAAACAAAGAATGTAAAGGAAGAAAACTCAAAGAAATAGCCTGAGAAAATTTCCAGAACGGAAAGATACGAGTTTGTTGATTGCAATAGTCCCCTAAATCCCCAAAAGATCAAGTCATTTCACGATGACAGGGAAGATTCAACAAACTTATGGTTGGTGGGAGATTTCACATAAGAAATCTAGAATCAGAATGGTTTCGGACTTCTCAGCGTGATACTGGTGGCTGGAAGACAATGGACACCCTCAAAATATCGAGGGCAAGCATTTTACAACTCGGAATTCCACAGCTGCCAAAACTATGAATTAGTCTTGAGAATAAAAAGAGTCAGACATGTACTCTCAACACGTTTTCCTCACGAATCTCAGAAAGCTACCGGAGGTTTTGCTCTATCAAAACTAGAAAGTAAACTAAGGAAGAGGTGGACTGTAGGAGACAGAAAGTCTCCAGCAAGAGACAAATCCTAGCCTGATGATGGTGACATGAGGTACCAAGGTGAGAACGGTGCGTCAGGTCTGGAGAGCACCCAGTCCAGGTGGGAATGGGGAAACACTCTGAGAAAAATGGCTCCAGATGAGAAAATTGATAGAATAGTTGATACGTTCAATTGATGTATCAGTGAAAGAGATTCTGGAATGATTTATTAACTCCGGGAAAAGCGAAAGTAGGGAAGCATATGGATTAAATGGCTCCAAAAGTAAGTGAAGTATACTATACTCCTTTGCTCTGAGTATCAATTAATGAAATAATTCTAGAAGGGTGAGGGGAGGTGGGAGATGTGGTGGTCCTAGGATCGTTGTTAAAGAGAAGTAAATTCTTACTTTGCAGAGTGAGAAGTCAATAGTTAATGCTCAAACCTAAGAAGTTGAGAAGTAGCAGTAGAAATATGCTATTTAGAGATATGGATATAAAATTTAAAGTAGGCTAAAACTTGAATGTGGTTGCCATTGGGGAGTGGGCATTGTGTGGAGGTAAGAGCTGTTATTTTTCAAAATAAGTCTTATGGTTCGCTTCTTTAAACCACATTTGTATAACAACTTTTTTTTTGAAACAAGGTCTCATTCTGTTATCCAGGCTGTGCAAAGGCACAATCACAGCTTGCTGCAAGCTTTATCTCCTGAGTTCAAGCGATCCTCCCAGACCTCAGCCTTCTGAGTAGCTAGGACTACAGGTGCATGCCACTTTGGTCTTTAAAAATATTTTTTTTTTGTAGAGACAGGGTCTCACTATGTTGCCCATGCTGGTCTTGAACTCCTGGACTCAAATGATCTTTCTGCCTTGGCCTCCTAAAGTGTTAGCATTACAGGCGTGAGCCACCATGCCTGGCCAGCATGTATAGCTTTGATAAAAATGTATATATTCATATCGATGTTTATCTATCTGTGGAGCATATTGGAAAGTGATGGCTGAAGTGGTGAAAGGTGACTTTTTTTTTTTTCCCCCATTGTGCTGGGATACTCAGCTAACAGGATAGAAAGCTAATGAGCTAACGATGGTGGATGGGGAGGTTTGGTCTTTTGCTAGAGCCCAAAGCAGCTTCATCAGAGGCTTTGAGTTCCTTGAACCCTGGAGCCAAAGGCCTTGGGAGAAGCGTGTTTGTCTAGCAGAGCTAGACAAGATGCTCTGAGTTACCTGAGCTGGGTGGATCCACTCTCTCAGGACAAGAGAAGGATCCAGCCCTGGCCTTAAAATCTATGGACGCTGGCTGCCCTAGAGAGAGACTCACTCTGTTTACCTGAGCTGGGAGAAAAGTGCCCTTATCTGTTTATACCTGGAGCAGCCAGATAATTTGGGGGCTCTCCTCCCTCTTCAGAGTGCTGCCGGCCTGAAAGAGATAACCAACAATAAAACAGGTGCCTCCTACTGAGGACAACAGAACAAAGAAGATAGAACTTTGCTTTCTTTTTGAGATGAAGTTGCGTTCTTTTCACCCAGGCTGGAGTGTAGTGGCACAATCTTGGCTCACTGCAACATCCGCTTCCTGAGTTCAAGTGGTTCTTCTGCCTCAGCCACCTGAGTAGCTGGCATTACAGGTGCCCGCCACCATACCCAGCTAATTTTTTGTATTTTTAGTAGAGATGGCGTTTCATCATGTTGGCCAGGCTGGTCTCGAAGTCCTGATCTCAGGTGATCCACCCACCTCAGCCTCCCAAAGTTCTGGGATTACAGGTGTGAGTCACGGTGCCTGACCAAGAAAATAGAACTTTAAAACAATCCACAACACCAAATATAACCTCCATGGTCATCCAGCAGCATATTACTAAGAAATGATCTGGAACTAAGAATAAGCTTTTGGCAATTAAAAAAAAAAATCTTAAACTTAAAATTCAACAGAGGAAGTAAAATGTAGAATAAATACTGCTGGCCATGGGGGAGGTCATCTAGAATGTCAAATGGAGAAACTGTGTTGCCACACAGAACAAAAACATAATGAAATGGAAATGATGAGTGAGAAGATAAGAGCAGTGGTGCTAAAGCTAGGAGATCTTGTGTGTATTTGTTCCAGAAGAAGAGAAAGGAAGAAATGGAGTAGAATCAATAAAGAAAGAAACAGAACAAGAAAACGTCTCTGACCCAGGGAAGACTTAAGTATTGAGCTCAGAAGCATTCTTCGAGTGCCTAGAAATATGAAAAAAGACCCGGATGTAATCACATGCTGTGAAATTTCTGAACTTCAAAGGAAAAGAAAAAAAATCCTAGAAAATTCCAGATGCAAAAACAACCAACGACAAAGCCAGTTACCTGAAAAGGAAAGAGAGTCAGAAGGCCACTGAAGGCGTCTTTTGCGACTTGGGAAGCCCAAGGACATGGAACAATACTCACAAAGTTCTCAGATCTAAGAATCGTGGCCAAAATGTTATTTAGGTGTGAGGGGAGAAGACAGACATTTTCAGATATACAAAGATATCCCATGAACCATTCCTATGGAAACTATCCAAGAAGGTAGTCTAGGCAATTGAAACTTAAATTTGAAAAACGAACAAAACAATTTAAAACTCACAATAGAGGAAGACAAAAAGCACAAGAAACAGTGGAGAGCAATAAATCTAGTGAAGCGTGTACTAAATAAATGAATGATGAGAAAGTGATTTTAAACTACTATAAATTAGAAAGAGTTTCTGAAAGAGAAGACAAGGAAGAAAAACCCTTAGTAATAGTTTGAAACTAAAATGATGGATTATTCCCACCAAACCCAGGATTTGGGATAGAGGGGCTTGTGGGGATGAGGATGGGGAAATAAAAGGTGCTCTAGGTGTGATCTAAATTGAGGGGATTACATTACTGTATGCTTTTGGTATGATGATAGTGACATATGGGTTCAAATATAACTTGAAAGATGAAAGTAACTATTAGTAGACTTGTGGTAGATAGAAAAACTTCCAGCAACCAGGGAGGGGAAACTTGAGTAGCTACAATTCCTTCCCATGTTCTTTAATTGTTTTATTATTATTATTATTTTTGAGACAGGGTCTCACTCTGTCACCCATGCTGGAGTGCAGTGATACAATCTCGGTTCACTGCAACTTCTGCCTCCTGGGCTCAAGAGATCCTCTCACCTCAGCCTCCCATGTAACTGTAACTGGGACTACAGGTGCAGGCCACCACGCCCGGCTCTTCTTCTCCTCTCCTCGTTCTCCTCCTCCGCCTCCTCCTTCTTCTTTTTCTTTTCTGTATATTTTGTAGAGACAGGGTTTTGCCATGTTGTCTAGGCTGGTCTTGAACTCCTGAGCTCAAGCAATTGCCTGCTTTGGCCTCCCCAAGTGCTGGGATTACAGGCATGAGCTACCACACCTGGCCAGTGTTCTTTCATTTTTGAATTATTTTTAATGATGAGGCTGCATTGATGAATTGCCTTCGTAATTATCAATAATGAAGTAAGAAACACTGAAAAGTTAATAGTGTTCAAAGACACCCCATGGTGACATAAGCAAGGTCTTCGGAGAAACTCCTTTCTTCCATCTCTTACATTCTTTCCCTGTATGCTTTCCCCACTACCCAGAAACAATGACTAATGACTGTCACTAGGGAAAAGGGCTAGAGAATGGCATGCAGGTGACTTCGTGAGGCCCCAGAGTAAGAACTGAATAACATATGATGCAAATAAAGATGGCTCTCTGCGTACTTACAAGTTTTTATTTGTTAGGGAAGGGAGATGTTCTGGCATGCACTACAGGGGACTGGTAATTCTCACCTTTAGAAAACTGGACTCTGTGATGGGATTTGGGAGACACCAGGCTGAAAGCCATCAGTGGAGCAGCATGCTGAGAAGACCTCTGGCCTAGAAATGAAGGTGCCTCAGTTTTAGTTGTGTCTCTGCCATTTTTGTGAGCCATGTGTCTTTGTGCAGCTCACTTAAGGCCTCTGAGACCAATTTTCCCACCCCAGGAAAACTGTGTTGCTGCACATAGTCAGCACTCTTAAAATCTCTCGAAATGTCTGCTGAATAAATAATGAACAAACAAATGAGTAAAATGTCTTGTCAAAGGTCGCCCTCAGTGTGAGCTGTGCCTGAACCCACAGGTGTCCTGAAGCAGCCTGATGCTTTGTTCAGCTTCGCCCACCTCCCCCACTCACTCACCGGTCTCAGCACTGTGCACACCTCGAGGAGAATCTGCTCCTGGTTCTCCACAGAGCACAGCACCAGGGTGCAGACCACCACGTCCACAGAGCCATCAGCCAGCTGGTGCATGTTCTCCCCGGCAGCTACCACAAAGCGCTCAAACTGCAAGTGACGGTTCTCAGCAATGCTCTTGATCAAAAACTTCTCAAAGTTGGGGTTGGGGTCAATACAGGTCACCCTGCACCCAGGTGGGTAGAATTTGAAGTTGGTCCCGGTGCCACAGCCCACCTCCAGCAGGGAGAGCTTCCCGGAGGGGCCTGCAAACTCCTGCAGGTTGCTGAAGAGCTCCCGCTTCTTGCTTGCCATCTGTTCGTTGTATATCACAGAGAACCTCACCAAGAAGTAGGGGAACCATTTTTTGCACATCCAGCTCCACAAGCCCAGAAAGTTCAGCAGGTACATGGGAAATGCCAGGATACCAATGGCCAGAAAGAGAAGGTGAGTGAGGACTGTCAGTGTATAGGAAGGTGCACCCACAGCCACACGTATGGGGAAGAGGGGAGCATGTTGAGGAAAGGTAAGACACTGTAGAATCCCTTCCCTGACAACCACAGAGTGGCCAAATAAGGGACAAATTAAGGGAGGTGATGTCCCTTGTCCCATTCTTCTTGGGTCCCCACCGGGAAGAGAGGCTAGGAATATCCACAAACATGGCAGATGTCTCAGGGCCATCTGCTATACTCACTTCAACAACAGCTTCCATTTGTTGGCTTTTTAAAATATGTTCAGAGAGCTTTAGGTATATTGTAGACATTATCTCCTTCCATACTTAAACCTCATGAGATAATCACTATTGAGTTCCCGTTTTACAGATGAAGAAACTGAGTCTCACAGAGGTCAGATACAAGGTCATGTAGCTAGGAAGAGGTATTGTGAGTCAAACGAGAGTCCACGCCTCCTGCCACAGCACTGTAGTGTTGAGACTACTGATCTCCTCGACGGAGAGTAACTGTCACGTGGACTGAGACCAGAGAAAGTGTATGTGCAGGATGTTCAAGTGCAGAGGAGTTGGACAGAGCAGACCTACAAAGTGTTGTTTCTATTTCCCCTGGCCGCAGAACTAGTCCTTCTCTTGGCGTCTGTAGAGCCTTCTCTGAACCAGCCTCCTTTCCACCTGTGGATATATGTCTGTATCGCTGGCTACCGTCGGCTCCTCCTTTTTGCCATAGACATCAAGGTATCTCTCCTGGGCACCACGACTGGCCTCACCCAGACTCTTTGTTTTTTTTTTTTTTCATTTTTATTTTATTTTTTTAAATTGCATTTTAGGTTTTGGGGTACATGTGAAGAACATGCAAGATTGTTGCATAGGTACACACATGGCAGTGTGATTTGCTGCCTTCCTCCCCATCACCTACATCTGGCATTTCTCCCTACGCTATCTCTCCTCACCCAGACTCTTGAACCCACCTCGCCGGATCTTGCTCTATTACTCAGCTTCACTCTCCTCATGTTTAAGAGATCTTAAACATGTCTCTGTCTCCTCCTCTGCCAACTTACATGCTCAGGTCTCCCCCATTCTAAAATCGATCTTTTCCTTTAGCTTGCTTTTCATCCAGCTTACTTTCCATCCCAGCTTTTCTTCCTATGGAACTTGCTTAGCTTTGGTAATTGGCACTCACTGTTTCTCCTTCTTCTCCCCATTGAAACCTCAGCTCCTGACATTTGACTTCTTCCCCGACAGCTCCAATAAAATTCATGCAGCCATCTCTGCCAAGAAACTTAGCTATGAAGGGAAAGGGGCAAGTAGCCAGAGGGAGAGGAAGAGGAGGGGAAAAAGAAGCAGTGGAAGTATCCGGAAGGGGAACAACTGATGGGATGCAGTATGACGGGAGGTGAGAGAGAACAGTGTCTGGGGCATAGGTGGAGGGAGAGTCTGTCCCTAGAGGCTGGAGGGCAGGAGGAAGGGTAGCAGGGTGGGGAAAGGAAGGTAAAGGAGTTTTTACCAGATGGTCTCGATTTTTGCAGTGAAGAAGGATGCTATGATTCTTTGTTGAGGATGAGAGGTGAGGGTGAAGGGTAGGGGATAGGAAGGGAGTAGAGAAGCTTTGCAATAGCAACCAGGAATCTCAGGAGACACTGCTGACCAAAGGCAGAGAGAAGTGCCTAGTAGCAAAACGGATGCCGCTGAGCTGGAGACCGCATTGGGGGTCACACCAGACCTTGAAGATGTGGTTTCTCTAATGCTCTGCAGGCTAGAGCTCGAGGAGAGGTTTAGGCAGAATAGGGCTTATCCAGAGGTTTATCCAGGGGGGGACTGAAGAGTCAGGGGTGAGAGTGTGAGGGTAACGGTTAGGGAACCCAAGCTGGAAAGAAAGGTGAAAGGAGGAAGGGGGGCGGGGAGAAAATGGAACAGCCAAGTTCAGGACTGGGGGTGCCGGTGTAGCTGAGGAATCCACCCATGACAGTGAGAGTTGTTATCAATGGCCCTGCAGTTTAGGATCTAGAGTGTGACCTCAGGTATAGGCAAGAGAAAAAGGATGCGAGTGAAAGAACTGAGGAGCTCAAGGAACTCAAAGGATAAGATGCTGGGTGGGCCATTTGCACTGAGAGTGAGGCAGCTCAGTGAAGAGGAAGCAGGATCCAGGTGCCAGAGTCCCCAGTGAGCATGAAGGGAGTCAGATCAGGTGGTGGCATGGGGCCAGCAGAGATCAGCCTCAGGCAGGCCTGGTGGAACTGGATGGCAGGAGCCCACTGGAGTTTTAGAACCACAGTCATCTGTGCAATCAATCTATAAAGGCTAAAAACTCAATCAGTACATGACGGATTTTTTTTCAACCAATAGTGTTCCAATGAATGATCAATTCACAGGATTAAATGAATTGACCAATTCATTTCACTTCCCTATGGACAGGCATTTAGGACGTCTCAATTTTTTTTTCACAAATATGCCACATTCCAATTCACATTCCAAGATAATGAAAAAAATTAATATTTTTTTCTGTATGAGTCAGAGCACATGTTTTTAGGGGATAGACAATGAGTAATAGTTCTCAAAGTACAGCAAGGAGGCAAACAGAATGCCTCCTCTCTGGGAAAGGAGTCACAGGGGCTGCGGGGATCGGGGAGTCTAGGGCAGGTTTAGCAGAGCCAGGCAAAGCAAGAGGACCGGGGGCTGCCTGGAGTTCACAGCTCGGTTCTAGAGGGTGAGGTGGGACAGCTAGGAGGGGGGTGGGAAGAAAGTGGGGGTGTGCTTGGCTGTGTGTGTAACACAGGGCTATGGAGACGGGAGCCTACGTTTGGAGCAGGCAGATGACCGATTGGGAAAGACTGTGGGATTAACTTGCCTCACAATTCTGCCCAGGATTTCCTAAGGTGGTCTTGGTGAGGCCAATGGAGACAGAGGCTGGATGGATGGCTGCAATGTGAATTCCTGTGGGCAGGAATCCTGTCTGCAGCCTCTCGAGTTGGCAGTGCCTTGGGAAGCCCTCCAGAGGATGTTTGTGTGTGCTGCCTGGCACCGAGTGGGCTCCTAGTGCTGGCCTGTGAATAGAGAGGCAGGAGGAGACTGGCCGGGGCTGGAACGGCCTGGAATGCTTCAGGGAGGGGAGGAGAGGCCAAGGGGTGAATGCCAGGCAGACCCTGGAATGGGGAAATACTGCTCAAAGTGCCACCCCCAAACCCAGATGTGGGCCTGAAAAAGCCCAGAGACCTTTTCTCCTTCCCATTGTCCTCCCCAGCCCTCTGCAGGTATGGAATCTGGGGATTTCATCTTGGGTGAAAAAATCCATGGCCCAGGGAGGGGCAGTGACGTGTCCAGGGCCCCAAGGCAGCAGCAGTGTCCTGACAAAGATTTCCCAGCCAGGCTTTAGGGGAGAAGTGGATGCAGGAACTCCTGGTCTCGGTGGGCACAGCCTCCAGAGTGCAGATCCTGCAGGGGGATGGAGGGGAGGAGGGATGAGAGGGCCAGAGGCAGAACTTGTCGGGGAGGTATGGGAAGGCAGGCAGTGGTGTGAGAGACAGTGGTGAAAAAAAGAGTTGAAGGTGAGCCCTGAGGGGTAAGGAAGTTGGAGTGTGTGTGTGTGTGTGTGTGTGTGTGTGTGTGTGTGTGTAAATGAAACAATTGGTCTCTTTTGCCTGCTTGGGCATTGGAGAAGGAGGGCAGTGAGATTCCTATGAATGCAAATATCACAGGGCCAGGTAATCCGTGGGCTCTTCAAGCTACAACCAGGCGCAATTCCAGGTTGACTCTCTCTCTCTCTTACACGTACATGCATACTCTGCAGCCAATGCCACAGCAGGTCTCCTTGAGCACCCCTCTGCCTCTGGCCTAAGCTGACCCAACGCCCGCCCATGGCTAGGGTAGGGAGGAGGCAGGGAGGGGGCTGGTGAGTCTCCACTAAGATCACTGAGAAGGGGTGACATTCTTTAGCCTTGCTGGAAGTCCTTGTGCTTTAACTGAAATGGCCAACCAGGAAGGACATTCTGTCCCCACCCTCGGCTCCCCCAAGGGCTTGGTCTGAGGTTACAAACCTGGCCAGCTCATTGGGAGGGGCTAGAGGTGGGCTAAAGGCGGAGGAAGCCAGGCCTGAGAAGAGAGGGTGTGACAAGCATGGCTGGGCCTACTGGGAAGTGAGGCCAGCACTCAGGCTTTGTCGGGTATTCCCTGCTCCTGCACAAGGCTCACTCGCCTTGACTGGGTTTGAAACTGCTGGGAAATGTTTGTTGGTGGCTTCACGGGAGGAAGTTGATGACAGCTGAGGGCTTTTAAACAGAAAAATGGTGGAGGGAGAGGGAGGGGTGTTAAGTGCCAACAGAGGCACAGGCACTCAGGCAGGCATGGAAATGTGTGTCATTGTGTAGCCACAGCTGCCCCCTCGCCCAGGATGCCCGCACAGACCCCTGTCTGTAAGCATGCTCAGACACACGGGTGCATATGCCTGGGGGTGTGAGCAAAGCAGAGCGCAGAGGCCCGCAGGTGTGTACACACAGACGTGCATACATATCCACAAAGTGTCACAAATACACACAAGCGTCCCCTTCCTCTACAGGGACACATAAAATAAATGGGCAGGAATATGGTGCAGAGTGGGGGAGGTGCATGTCCGGGGTAATCATTCCCAAGGCCCTTGGGCTTCCGACACCTACTGGAGTGGGGAGGGGAGGAGCCAGAAGTGCCATCGTGTCCCCCTCAGCCTAGTTTCCATGGGAAATGAAGTAAGAGGGAACGCAACCAGGGAAACTAGCTGGGCCAGGTGGGGTCTGACTCCTGAACAAATGAGTGAAGGAGAGCAGCAGGGAATGCCTTTCTGGCTTCAGCAGCCTGGAGGGTGGGGGCGCCTGGGCGTTGACTCCTGGGTTGGAACTTTTCTGGCCACCCCTTCCCCCAGTCTCTTGCCATTGGGTCTCTCTGCTCGGGGCTCAGGAATCTCTATGTTCTTCACCTCCTCTCCAAGCCTCCTCCTCCGGGAAGCCTTCCCTCACTGAGCCGCTGGAACTGCGGGGCACCTGTTTCTGATCAGCTGCAACTGCGGTCCCCCCTGTTCTCTGCGGCCGCCTGCGGATGACGCTCCTGCCTCCTCCGGACCATTCCTGCTGGGACTGAAAGCCTGGGCTTCGGCGGGGCGGGCGGGCAGAGATCGGAGGGCGGCCCCAGGAGGGGC